AATGATTGGTTTGTATTATTTAATTATATAAATAATATTAAAGATGGTGGGGTTGTAATACAGGTCTAACGCTCGCCCGACCGAGAACCGCAGCACATACGACTTCCTCCACCGGTCGAACGCTGAACCTGCACAAAAACTCTCACACCGGAGGTATTTTCCGGTGAAGAGCCTCCAACGCTCAAGTCAGATCTTGAGAGATAAATGTGTATATCAAAATCTTAAGCAAATTGGAAGTTATCCCAAAGCGATAATCCTCGTCCCTATTTATAGGGACGAGCTACCTGTTGGCCACGCGCTATTAGGCGAGTCTCGCCCTCCATCCTTCGCTCGTCCGTACGGTCGCGCGTCTCCACTTTCTCCGGTGTCAGAAAACGCGTCAGCTGCGCCAGAGAATGTCAGAGTTCGTTATCCCTTAGCCCATTCATACGCCGCCGCGTGTCCACCTTCCATGTGACAGAGATCCTTTAGCATATTCTGGCTGTCGACCAGATCCGTCCGTGTGTCCTCACGTGTAATTGCTCTGGAGGCAAAAGACGATTGGTCTGTGCCTGTACTTGCTGGGGCGTCCCCGCTCGACCAGGTGCTAGAGCTTCTATGGACCTGTTGGTATTGCTCGACCAGACCCATACGCTGCTCTATTTGGAGTGTCCTCCGAACCGGTCTAGTATATAATATCCCATATCAGGTTGAGTTAAGGTTGAGTTAGATTTTGTGTTTAAAAAAAAAGTGAGTAAATTATTTTGTAAACAATCACTCCCTTAGGGTTTTGCAGTTTTGCATATCAATTAAACAGCAAAATCTGTCTTTTTGATGACATTGAAGCGAATTTTTCTTCATGGGGCAGTACTATATGGTTTGTTGTCTAGAATCGTACTATTTTTACCTACGTGGCAAATCATTAAATAAACTGAATTCATATTTACCGCACCCAAATCGATTATACCTATTACCTGCCCCAATTAAGTCCGTCCGAAAATTTATTGAATGATCAATTAATTCCGTATGAAATTTTGTTCCCACAAAAATTGCAAAATCGTAAATAAAAATAATAAATTGAAAGCAAAAATTGTACTAAGATCTTGTAATCATTCAATTATATCTTGCAAACGTCACTACAGATTTGACAGGACACTAGGGTTTTATTTATTAGAATTAAATATTTAAATAATTAAACCACATTATAGATATAGTAAACACTAGCCTTACGGCCCTTACCTCCTATTTCATCTCCAACAACTACTGAATAATC